TGACTTAGGAAAGTACAGCAACTCTGGACTGGGGCTGGGGACTGCGCCCCGCACGCACCGACCTGCAATGGGCAAGCCCATGCGGTAAACACTGGAACGAACTGAGCCCATCCGCCCGAAAGCCGTTGCCTGGACTCCTGCACTGTGGAGGCCTGTTGGGTGGCAGCTGGTAGAAGGCTGCGTCCGATACATCCCCGGCAGGACCGAAGCTGGCAGCCGTGGGATCAGGAAGAGGAGCGTGGACGAAGGTGAACTGCGGCTCGCGCGTGCGCAGTTCGCACGGGTGTCCCTCACGAACACCTCGAAAACCTTTGCAACCGATGTCACTGTCGCGTGCGGCCCCAAGCGAGAAGGCCCCGCCACTCGTGGGATGCGCGGGGCCACCGCGATGCCCACAGAGAGGGGGGTCGACGCCGGACCCGCCGGCGCGCCCCGATCCGCATGACGCTCCGCGCCACCAGAAAATAACAGGCGGAACTGCTACAACGAGTTGTAGGGAGGGGGAGGAGGAGGAGGAGGAGGAGGAGGAGGAGGAGGAGGAGGAGGAGGAAGAGGAAAAGGAGGAGGAAGAAGAGGAGGAAACAAATAATGACCAGCAGCTCTGACCCTAAGCGGAGGCGCCCTACTATATCTCTGAACTCCACATGCGCCAAAGAGAGGGGACGAATAAACTTCCAGTCCAGCCACGGGGATGTTCCGGGACACCGAAGAGCGGGCGGACATACCATGCCCCATTCGCACCTTCTGCACTACAAGTCGCGGAAACGGTGCGTTCCTGGAGCGAGCATACGATTCAACAAAGCCTGTATTTGGGAGACGCACCGTTGCCTCAAGCGCCGCCGAGGCTTGTGACTTGTGACTGGCGCCCGTCAGCTGCCAGCCACGGAGTCGGCCGAATATCGGCCACGCCGCCGGGACAAAGGTCAACGCAATGGGGCCCCCTTCCCCGCAACAGGACGCAATAGCCGTGACATTGCAGGGGCTGTGACAGGAACCCACGGGTCGCCGGCAAAGTTGGCGCAAGCCGCCCGTCGGGAGCACCCGACAGAAGGGAGCAGAGGAGGAGGAAGACGAAACGAGAGGATGGGAGAAGGCATCCCTCTCCGTGGTCGTAGATGCTACAAAAGAAAAAGAGAATGATCACGTGGCCCTGGCGCCCGGCAGTATCTGGAAGGCGTCGTCGAGCACCGCTGTCCTAAACGTGTGCCCCTTGACCGCCTCCCGCAAGGACTGGCACAGGCAGTCGACGGAGGCCTCAGGCGCTACTTCGCTGTCCCGGATGCTGTTGACGGCGTGGTATACCGCGTAGATCAGCAGCCCCGTCTTGCCTAGCGCCTCGTCGTCTTTGATGTGGATGCTGGTGAACATGAACGTGTGGAGGGTGCCGTAAACCGACGCGTCCAGGTTGAGCCGTCGTTGTGGCAGCAGGGCGGTTAATGGGCACCGGCATGCTCGATCGATTCCTCGGCCCAGGGCGGGCATCCGAGCGGGCAGCGGTTCGAAAGGGCGCGGCGCTGCAAAAAGCGGCCGCCCACTACACGCGTGGCGCCACCACCGCCCCCGAACCCCTGAAAATGCCGGAAGGCCCGGTGAGCCCCGGAGTGCGGCGTGCTCTCCAAGACGCCCGCGTAGGGTGGTTGCGGGAGGAGACAGGCATCCCAAAGGCGACGGAGATACAGCTTTTGCGCCGCGCCCACATCAGCGCGTGGGGAGCCTCCTTATCCAAAGATGCCCTGGTAGACCACTTCTGGAAGCTGAGTCGGAAAGCGTCGTCGGCCATGGGCTTCTGTAGGTTGTGCACTCCCCCCAAACGTGGTGCACATAGCCCTGGGCCTGTTCAAAGTTCAGGACGAGTGCGCCCTCGAACCGCTCGCACCACTCCACGGGGACATGAGGACGCGCGGGCGTGCCGGTCAGCTCCCGAAGCCACCTCGCCGACTGGGCTAACCAGGCGAGCGAGTGAAAGGACTTCGCCGGGCCAAAATGTCCCTTGAACCTGCAAAGGTCAGAATTGATGAGCCACGCCCCGGGTCCCTTTGCCATCTGCTGCAACACCTGCGTCTCCCTCGTCAGGGCTTCGTCCGGGAGGCGCTCCAGCTGCATGACGAAGCTCGGTACCGACGCGGCGAAAGTGTTGTAGACGAAGAACTGTACTGCAACCCCACGCCAACATTGCACCAACACAGCAGTGCGAGATGGATTCCTCAAGCGGTTCCCTCCAACTCACCCCCCCTCTGGGTCCGATCATAAAGCCGAGGCGTTGGCCCTTCAGCCGGAGTTGCATCTGGCCTCATGCAGAGACTTTCTGGGCAAGCTGCCGCTGGAATTCCGTCGCGTCCTCGCCGTCAACTGAGATATCGATACACTCTCGTCGAGAGTGAAATCCATACCAGAGATGCGGGAGAACTATTCGAACGATCGGGCCAGTCGGGTCGCCTGCTCCGTGATGTTGTCGATGACCAAAGCGGTGTCGTCTGGGTAAGCGAAGCGCCGCACTCTGGAGCAAGACTCGCCAATCCTGTCTAGCAGCACTTCTGTGATGACTGCGTACAGGAAGGGTCAAAGCGGGCACCCTTGCCCCACCCCGGAGGCCAAATTGAAGCCGCATACGTTTCCCCGCCCGCCGCTATCCGACATGAGGCGTGTTTGTACTAGCGGCGGACCGCGTTCAGCGCGCTTGAGGGGCACAGGGTCTAGAACAGGAGCTCCTGAGCAACTGCCAAGAAACCCGCCTTGAGATCCAGGAAGATGCAAGCGCCATTGTCTTGAGTGATCGCCGTGACCATCATGTCCGTCTTCAGCCCGATGAGGTTGATGATGGATCTCTGGAGCGCTTGGTGCTGACGATGCTGTTATTGATGATGGCGTTCACGATGATGAACATGCGGATGACGATCAAGATGAAGATAAGTATGAAGATGAAGATGATGATGATGATGCTGATGATGATGATGATGTTATTTTTGATGATGATGATGATGATGATGATGATGATGATGATGATGATACTGATGATGATACTGATGATGATGGCGATGACAATGAGGGTATAAGCAGGTTGAAGGAAAGTGATGCGGGGCGCGGCTGATTCAAAACGACGGCCCAACACCGCTGGATGGAGGGGAAACATTCCAAGAACGAAACGAATCAAAGGCACAACTTTGTCTAGCGACGGTGCTGCGACCGTGTGATGTCTCCTGAGAGGGCTTGTTTTCCTCAGGATGTAAATCCGTTTGTCAAAATGCGACGCCGCCACGCTAGTAGAAGTAAGCGTTTTTGTTTGGACCGCCTCATGACATTGAGCATCATCCACTAGTTATTAAACAATACACGCATACGAGGCAGTTGCGCTGCAATGTCTGACGGGAATAGCGCTTGTTCCCCCCCCCAGGACGTTGGTCAAAACGTATACCAAGATAAACGGGCTGTCAGGCCTCTAACGGCGCAATGTGCTGTCAATCCCGGCGCGTCGGCCAAAACCTTACACAATATACAACGTGCATGTCGAACCTACCCATACAATCAAACCGAACGAAATATCCACACTACGATATGTGACCTCGCAAAACCTGAGTGGATAATGTGCTGCCCACCTACATGCACGCATGTGGCCCTGACAGATGATGCGATGTATGCGTGTGCACCTGCATGCCAGATTTGATTCCAACACGGCCTTATCACGCCTCAAGACAGTGGCCAAACACACCATGCCAACATATGACGACCTGCCAACCACCCACGTTATCATAAAGCACATGATGATGGACTTACTGTCGCTCCACCTCAAGAAAGTGATCAAACAACAAAATCAAATGTGATGTGCGACTTCTGGGTCGTCCTATGCTAAGTTATCCGTGTTCGCTTACAACATGTCAGCATATGATTCATAAGTGAGCCAGTGCGTTGCAAGTTCTAAGTATACTTACCAATTCCATAACTTGTAAGACATATAGGCAAACGAACTCTATACTCCGACGCTTTTCCCGACCCTGCGCTGAAATTCGCACAGGAACGCGGATTCTGGTGTATACGGGATCCTGGTGTATCATACAGTTTCCGTTGTTTCCCCTGGGAAGCGGGGGACAAGTATACACCACACCACCCCGACGTCGTCCCTGACCCTTAAAAAGTCGTGGGATTGAAGAACAACGCGCCACTGGTCCCCAAACGGCCACATAGCGAACAGAGCCACAGTCCCTCAAACAGGACCGCCCCACTGACAACTCAGGATGGAGCACGGTCTCCCGGGGAGGAGTCCAAGACCTCTCTCGGGGCCCACGCCGTGCAGCGATCGCGGCGTCGGGGGCCCAAGGGGCCCCCCTCTCTCCGCCGCCCCGGGGCACCCACGTTTGGGACCCCCGCGGGCGGTGGATGGGCCCCAGGGGGGCCCGAACATATAGCCATAGAGATCCATTGAGCAGGGACCGACCGTCACGGCATTCCTAGAGTCCCACCACGAAATGTTCGCAGAACCCAACAGTGCTCTAAGAACAGAAGCGATGTTCTTAGAACAGAAACCCGATGTGTTGAAACAGGACAGTCCCAGCCAGAAATGGTCCAAGAACAACTCCTGGGAACCACAGAAGGTTCTTAGAACATTGCTTGGTAGGGCTATAGGCGAGCCAGGACGCCTCGCCGCTGCTTGAATCCACTGCCCGCCGAGGCCCCCGAAGGTCGACCTCCCCCCCGGCGGAGGCCGTGGGCGGGTGGGCAGACCTTCCACCGCCGCTGCCATGTGTAGGACGGGGGAGCAGGGAGGATGGAGAGGTCCTTCTCCTCCTCCTCCTCCTCCTCCTCCTCCTTCTCCTCCTCCTCCTCCTCCTCCCTCTCCTACATATGGTAGCGGTGGTGAAAAAGCGGCACGTCAGGTCCTGTTACAGGATCCCGCCGCTTGCGGCTCCTCCTCCTCCTCCTCCTCCTGCTCCTGCTCCTGCTCCTACTACATATGCCAGTGGTGGTGGAAAACCGGCCCATCATGGATATACCTCCCCGCCTCGGGCCTGTCGTGTGCGCAGCCCGGCCTCGCGGGCCTCCTCCAGGCACTGCTGCAGCTGCTCCGCCAGGAGCCTCGAAGAACCAACAAGCACATAAACCTAAGCTCAGGTCGGGCATGTCCTTTGCAGGCGGATTTGGGACGAAACAAATGAAAAATAGTCGAACGTAATCCAAGCATTCTCAAGCATGGTCAAGGAACATCGTCTACATACTATTTCTCAAGATTTTGGAATGTCCCCCCTGTAGAGGGACGTGCCCGACTCAAACCTAAACGTTCGGCGCTTCGCGCGGACCTCTCGGATCGGCGCTGGACCCCCCTCCCTGGCGCGCGCGGGCGCCGCCGGGGGCGACGACGGAGGCGCCGCCGGGGGGGGCCCGGCGCCCGACCCGAGAGCTCCGCGCGCGGCGCTCCGCGAGTCTGTGCTCGCGCGGCTCTTCCCTGCTCCGGGGGCCGCTGCGGCTCGGGCAGCTCGGGCTCCACCAGCTGGCCCGCCTTCGGTATAGCAGCTCATGGGAGCCTCCTGTCTCTCCTCTCCTCGGCTCCGTCGATTATCGACGCTGGATCGACGCCAGTCGACGGACGCTAGAGCATTGCCATACGGTGCTAAATCGACGCTGATCGACACTGACTCCGCGCCACCTCATCGACCCAGGAGGAGGAGGAGGAGGAGGAGGAGGAGGAGGAGGAGGAGGAGGAGGAGGAGGAGGAGAGAGGAGGGGAGGAGGAGGGAGGAGGAGGAGGAGGAGGAGGAGGAGGAGGAGGAGGACGCTAGAGACGGGATCCCGAGGGCATACCGGGCTCCCATGATTTGCTACCGCACCCGCCCTCTCCAGCAGCTCCACCGCGCGCCCCGCCACGAGCTCCGCGCGCTCGGCCTCCGCGAGCTCGGGGGGGGCCGCCGCCGCAGGACCGCCGCCGCCCTCCGCCAGGGCCGCCGAGAGGCTGCTGGCGTCCGACAGCTCCGCGAGGCGCTCCAGCTGCTGGATGGCCTCCAGGACCTCCTGTGGGGTTGGGGGGGGGGGGGGTAAGGCCGAAAAGTGGTTCTATTTGACGATAGGTTTTTCTTACGTTTTTGTCCGTTGAAACCTTGACATGTTCTGTGTTCCACTTACATTACCGTCCATATCTTTCTTTCTCTTTTTTTATATCTCTCTCTCTCTCTCTCTCTCTCTCTCTCTCTCTCTCTCTTTCTTTCCGTAGTTTTCGTTTTCATTGCATTCGTCTTCGCGCCCCCCTGGGAGGGGAGGGGAGGTGGAGGGATCCTAGTGTAATCCTCCACAAAAGGAATTATTCTGTAATCCCCACAAAAGGAATTCTAATGCAATCCTCTACAAAGGAATCCTATTGTAATCCTCCACGAAAGGAATTCTATTGAAATCCCCACAAAAGGAATTCTATTGAAATCCTCTACAATTGGAATCCTTTTGTGATCCTTCACAAAAGGAATCCTATTGTAATCCTCTACAAATGGAATCCTATTGTAATCCTGAAATTCCAAATTTCCAAATACTTCGGGATTTTTTTTTTTTGTTTTTGCTCCTCGCCTTGGTTTTGGCTGTCCAGGCACAGGGAAGCTCTGTTTCCAGGGTTAAAAAAATGTTGTTTTGTTCCCCGCGTTTGCTTTTGCTGTCCAGGCACAGGGAAGTTAGGGCCAGCCAGTATATTCCCATGGAGCCAAATCGCGAAAATATGTGTTTTTCGATCTCCATCGACCTTGAGCTTCCTTGTGCCTGGACAGCAAAAACCAAAGCGGAGAACAACAAAAACATTTCTTTTTGAAACCCTGGAAACAAAGCTTCCCTGTGCCTGGACAGCCAAAACCAAGGCGAGGAAAAACAAAAAAAAAATGTCCCGAAATGCTTGGGAATTTGGAATTTCAGGATTACAATGGGATTCCATTTGTAAGGGGTTACAATAGGATTCCTTTTGTGAAGGATTACACAAGGATTCCTATTGTAAAGGATTACAATAGAATTCCTTTTGTGGGGGATTTCAATAGAATTCTTTTTGTAGAGGATTACAATAGGACTCCTTTTGTAGAGGATTTCAATGGAATTCCTTTTGTGGGGGATTACAAACGGATTCCTTTTGTGGAGGATTACAAAAGGATTTCTATTGTAGAGGGTTAGAATCGAATTCCTTTTGGGGAAGATTTCAATAGAACTCCTTTTTGTGTAGGATTTCGTTAGTACCAGTGACATCATGATTCCTTTTGCGAAGGAGTTTGTTGTTTTTTGTTTTTCGTTGTGTTTTCTGATGAGAAAGAAGAGGGAGAGGAGGAGGAGGAGGAGGAGGAGGAGGAGGAGGAGAAGGAGGGGAATATGAGGAGCAGGATGGGGGGGGAAGCAGGGAGAGGAAAATGATGAAAATCTTGTGCGCAAGGGGGACCTTCAAGGCTTGGGCGAATCCGTTCAACATGAGGGCTGGCGCGGGAGTAGGAGGAGCACGAGTCGCAGAGCTTAGTGCACACAAGGAGGTCCATCAAGGGTTGGGCGAATCCGCTCAACAACGAACGCGGTATCGAACGCTTCGAGAACATCGAACTGTGTTCTCTTCGAACATCCGCAGGTGCCTAGCGAAGTTGCGATTGGGTGGTTTTGGCAGGAGCCGATACTATGAACGCAGCTCTGGCCGCAACGGGCCGTCTGAACTTGCCGCGAAGATTGCGGATATGAGTGAGTCGGTCGCGCGCCGCTTGTACAAGCGCATCCAAAGCGACAGCTTTGTGGCGAAACCGTACGACTCCATGTCAGATTTCGTAGATGATTTGGCTGCCATCTGCGCAACGCATCCAGATGCGACGCGCCGAAGTACAGGTAAGAAAGCAACAGTGCTGAGCAGCCTCGAGCACGCAACGACTGTACAGGAATTGGGGTACATTCGGAATATCTGTAAGTACGTGGCTAACAACCCCACCATAGAAATTATGTTTGGCACGACTCGGAACGAGGCTTCCCATAAACAGTTAAAAGCATGTTATAGGAATGTAATCTACCAGACTCAGCGGCATGCCTTATGCGTCGCTACTGCAGCAAGGTTGGCAAAGTTGTTCGTTGGATTTGTGGCTAAATGCCACGGCGACCTGACGCTCACATTTGAGGAGCACGACCTGCTGGCCAAATTTGCCATGTTCCTCGTCGCAGAGACGGCATGCAAGTTTTCACCTCTTATGTGCCACTCAGTAGAAGCAGGCGAGTCGGTGGATCTGGCGAGCCTGCCGATGAATGCAAAAACTATTCGCAAGCGCCCAGCATCGGCGCTATAAGCTTCAACTATGTGGCGCATGCACTTTACTTACCTACTGCACTTCTGTGACTGCGGGCCTATATCGCCGTCAAAACAAACATCGTCGTTGTTATCAAATCGTGATGTTCATCGATACAGCTCCATCAAACGCAAGACACGCATGTCGTCAAATAGATCAATTTTCTCCTCCACTGGGGGGGGGGTTGGGGGGGGGGGGGGGGGGGGGGGGGGGGGGGGGGGGGGGGGGGGGCAGAACCCCCGTCAGCAAAAACCGCCATCTGCAGTCGGGTCTCCCTGAGAACCCGGCAATGCACTTTCTCAAACCACGGGCGTGCTCGCCCAGTTCCAGGCCCTGGGGCCCTCGCAGAGCGATCCGGCTCGAAAGGTGACGCAGAAAGCTGGGGTCCGGGGCTCTGGTCGTGACTCTTTGCGATGTGGCATTTTTTTTTGCAAGGTCGGATCTCAGGGTTGATGGGCCTGCTTTCCATCACCGCCACCACCATAAGTTGGAGGGGGAGTGAGGTGGAGGATTAGGAGGAGGAAGAGGAGGAGGAGGAGGAGGAGGAGGAGGAGGGGAACAAAAACCCAAGGGTTGATTGGAGAGGGCACGCGGGAGACTCAAGACCCTTCCAACGGCCAGCTTGCCAACGCAGGGGACACGGGTCGCGAGAGACACAGGACACAAGGGTACCCTTGATTTCAAGGGTCAACCTGCCAATCAAACTCGGCTGTAGTGACTGTCTAGTGGGGGCCCATGCCAAGAAACACCCTGCTCGCCTTCAGGGTGCCCTGGATTTCTTGGGTTTTGATGGTTTTGCTGTGGACAGCGTGACGGTCCCACCGCAAAAATCAATGGACGCCTTGGGGTCACAGGGTTGGGTTTCTTGTGGAAGGTTTCTTGTGGTTGGGCCCCTACTCTAGTGAAAGCTGTCGTGGGTACTCCACTGGCGCACGGCACCGCATTCCGAGTGCACCCAAACGGGGTAGCGAATCGGCGTCCGAAAACCACCGAGTGTGTCTGGCGAAACGCACGTGGATTAGCGAAACCGCCTGGGGACTGCACTGGCACACTCGCGCATGCCAGCGTCGAGGTCGAGTGCACCCGTGCATACTTCCTCCGTCGGCTTGTCCGGGGGGGGCGTCTTGTCAACACCCGACTCCTCGCTGGTAGAGATGTCCATCTTCCCCCCCATGAGGTTGAGGACGCGGGACGCGGCCAGCGCCCTCACGCCGTCGAGCTCGCGCAGCCGCGCGCACACCCCCTCCAGCTGCCCCTCCAGCTCCTTCGCCTCCCCGCCACAGCCCGCCCGCGCGACCTGGCGCGGCTCGGGGGGACATCCGGCGCCGCGGCTCGCTCACCCAGTCCCGGATGGGGCCCGAGCGGACGGGACCAGAGGCTCGCGCCGCATCGCCGACGCATCGGCGATGCACTGGCGACGCCGGCGATGTATCGGCGCCGTCGGCGTGAAGAAGACCGGGCTCCGCGTCGCTGATACGGAGCGGCCCTCCGACCTGAAATCTGCTCGGACCCCACCCCGGAGGCTTAGATTCCCCCCCTTCTTGCTGGCCAGATGCAGTGCCGGGCCACCTCAGATGCCCAGCCGCTCCAAGAGATAATGAGGTTGTGGTCGTGAACTTCTGGGCAGCGCGTGCCGCCACAGCTCGGGCCCCATCCGGGAGGCCTAGACTCACGGCGTGGGCCCCCCAGAAGTCCGAACTCTGGGCGGTGCAATTGTGCCAACAACCGGGCGCTGTCGCCGGGCTTCGATCGGGCCGCGGGTTCTCATCACAGACCCCTCTGGCTCGACAAGGGCCGCGCCACGATGGGGTCTGCTGCGGTCGTGATTGTCCGCGATGCCGCACTTTTCTTGCATTTTTTCACAGCGTCGGGTCTTGGGGGGGGGGTCTGGACCCGTTCCCCCCAGAGGAGGAGGAGGAGGAGGAGGAGGAGGAGGAGGAGGAGGAGGGAGGAGGAGAAGAGGAGGAGGAGGAGGAAGAGGAGGAGGAGGAGGAGGAGGAGGAGGAGAGGACGAGGAGGAGGACGAGGAGGAGGAGGAGGAGGAGGCTCGGTGGTGAACAAACCTCCCTTTAGTAAACCTCCCTTTAATGAAAGCGGCCAAGGAACCGAAACCGACGGACCAGAACAGGCAAAAATGACGGCCGCGACGCCTTCTCGCGAACCGAAAACGGCCAATTCCTCAATCGACGTGTCAGGGTAGAAGGTCTATCGACCTCCGAGAAAAGGAGGAGGAGAAGAAGGAGGAGGAGGAGGAGGTAGGAGAAGGAGGAGGAGGAGGGGAGGGGAGGAGGGAGGAGGAGGAGGGGAAGGAGGGGGGGGGAGGAGGAGGAGGAGGAGGAGGAGGAGGAGGAGGAGGAGGAGGAGGAGGAGGAGGAGGAGGGAGGAGGAGGAGGAAGAAGAGGAGGAAGAGGAGGAGGAGGAGGAGGAGGAGGAGGAGGAGGCGTAGCCTGCGGCGCGCCGAGCCATCCGAAGAGAGGCCGGCGCACTGACCTTAGAGGAGGCGGGCCTCACCGCGATGGAGCGGTGGGCCGCGGGGGAGGGAGGCCTGACCGAAGATGAAGGAGCGGCGTGCTCGTGCTCAACTCTGGACGCCCGGAATTTACCAGCCTCGAACGTATCCCTATCCCTAAGATTGACACGCCAAAAGGCGATGACAATCTTAGGGATTCGCCCTCAAAAAATAAGGGAACCCCTAACATTGGCATCGTGCTGAGGAGGTGCCCAGCATAAGGATAGGGATCTGTTCCAGGCTGGTAAGACATGGGTACGGAAAGAATGGGTACAATGCCCAGCAGCAGTTCCTGTTCCTTTTGAGCAGGATCCGCTGTCCACGCCGCCGCGGCCTGTGTCCATTCGAGACAGAAGGCCGCCTGCCCAACAGCGGCCGCTGTTGGTTTGGGACAACATTTGTTGTTGGGCATTGTACCCATTTTTCCCGTACAAGTTTCGGGCGTCCAAATCAACAGCCAGAGGCGGAAGCACGGATGTGCCTCGACAGGTTCTGACATGAACGCCCCGCCCAACCAATCCCCGAACTCGAGCATGATCAACGCCGCCCCAACTCGATTCTGGACGCTGGCTGTCCAAACCCTTACGGCGCGTGACCGATGGAGAGAAACACGGAACTTGCATTTGAGACGCGTATGCTTCCTCACGTACTGCCAGCACTGCCTTCAGACAACCGGGCTCGGCGTCAATCCCAATCTCCAGAACCACAGCGCCCCCTCATAGCCGCCCCGCGCCGCACCACCCCCGTTCCCTCCGCCACATCATCATAAAAATACATGGACAGATAAGGGTTGGCCGCGCGGGCGGCGATCGGTTGAAACTAGCTCCAGCTGTTGGCTCCTTAGTCCAGGTCCGCACCCGCCCACCCACACGTTCCACCCTCCCAACACCAACTCGTGCGCATTTCATAGCTCGGCGCCCTGACATGCCGCCACCAGGCATCTGTGCGCGAACTCGTCGGAGCAGCGGGTGCGGTCTCTGCAGAGAGTCCAGCCCGACCTTCACAGTGTGAAAGAGATAGAATGCGATGATCATCCTACGGATGGCATCCGGGCGAGCATCGTCCGGGGAGGCGCGGTCCTCTTCGGAGCCCAGCCCCCACGGGACAAGTAAGCGAGGGCACGGGGAGGCGCGGGGGGGGCCGGTAAACTGCGTGAGACGAGGGCCTTGCCAATGATGGCACGTCGAGTCCCGCGCCGAGCAGCCGAAGAGGCAACGCCGAGGCTGCAGGACGTGCATTCTGTGGGACGTGTGGTCCAGGCCGCGCCGAGCATCGTCACCACGCACCGCTGGCGGGCCGTGGATGGCTGTGCGAGCCCTCGCCGCATGTCCTGCCAGCGGAGCTCGGATCGGCGGGCACCTCGGATGAGGGCTCCGGCGCATTTTAAACGCTTGGCGATCGTGGAAGCGACAGTGACGGGGAGCATGGACGTGGCACGCGAGCGAGCTACAGTAAAACGACGCGAAGATCGGGACAAAATCGGATCGGGATAACTCGAAATCTCTGAGAATCGGCGGGTTTGGAGGATGTATTGGGCGCCGCGGCCGCTCCAGAGCGTTCTGGAACGCTCTGAGAGCGCTCCGGAACGCTCTGGAGCGATTCATCCCGATCCTAGCCTTGTTTTATGCAGCCCGCTGAAGCCTAAGGCGCCGACCGTCACGCGCAGCTTGGGCCAACTCCTCGCGGCCGGCCCTCTGGGCGGCGCGCAAGCAGGCTGTCGAGACCTGCCGACGAGAAGAAATCCGAATGGGGCAGCCGCGAGCCAGCGAAGAATTCACCTGACCGATGCTATGCTGCTGCTGCCAGAATGGCGGACTCAAACATCCGCGGATCCAGCGGGTTCGGGAGCCTTGCACGTGGGCGGTCTCCGTGAGTGCATGTGGCCGAGGGCGCCGCATTCCGTCACTCGTGGAAGAGCAGAGCCGCCAAACCGCGGCGGCGCTGTAGGTGACGATGGAGGGGAACCCCGCTTTCCCCCAGGAGCGGAGGGAACGGAAATCGGCCAGCTTCAAGGAATCTGGGGGTAATCGGCACACCGTCTGCACGCAAAGATCTTGTATTGCAGTATATTGCGATCGACTGCAAAAAAACTGAGCAAGATATAACAGCACAAGCATCGTCGATGTGACGTGAGTGTATACATTGATTGTAATTGCAGCGCCAGCGGCAGCCTGGAGCTGAACACGCGTCCACCACTTCTGGGCAGCAGCCCGCCACTGCATGTCGAGGGTGGCAGCAGGCCCAATGTAAACGCGTATGTACTTGCAGGCTCCGCCTATAGAAAACGCCCACCATTCAGGTGCGAGGGATGCAGGAAATCGCGAGCCTCGACCTCGACCTGGGGTGAGCACGGCCCCCACAGTGGTACAAGGTTGCATTTTGAGCGCGAGATTGGCAAGCGAATGCATGGCCCTGAAGGGCGAAAGAATACGGCCGAGCAAGTGCGCCTCCGCTAGCAGCACTCCAATGTCGTCAGCACAGGAGTCACTGGGAAGCAACGTGCGGAGGTGACGAAGCGGGGCGTCCAACGCGAGTGCCCAGAGAGATCCACTCAGCGGGCATCCCTGTAGGACTCCAGAGCTGATGAGGCAACAGAGCTCCCGGGTGGGCCCAAGACTCGCGAATCCTAGCGGGAGCTCGTACAAAGCACGTATCAGACTCATGAAACCCTCGGGGAGGCCAGGGAGGAGAAGAAGGAGGAGGAGGAGGAGGAAGTGGAGGAGTAAAGGAGGAGGAGGAGGAGGAGAGGAGGAGGAGGAGGAGGAGGAGGAGGAGGAGGAGGAGGAGGAGGAGGAGGAGGAGGAGGAGGAGGAGACGGAGGAGCAGGAGGAGGAGGAGGAGGAGGAGGAGGAGGAGGAGGAGAGGTGGAGGTGGAGGAGGAGGAGGAGGAGGAGGAGGAGGAGGAGGAGGAGGAGGAGGAGGAGGGGGGAGAGGAGGAGGAGGAGGAGGAGGAGGAGGAGGAGGAGGAGGAGGAGGAGGAGGAGGGAGGAGGAGGAGGAGGAGGAGGAGGAGGAGGAGGAGGAGGAGGAGGAGGAGGAGGGAGGAGGAGGAGAAGGAGAGGAGGAGGAGGAGGGGAGAGGAGGAGGAGGAGGAGGAGGGGGGGAGGAGAGGAGGAGGAGGAGGAGGAGGAGGGAGGAGGGAGGAGGAGGAGGAGGAGGAGGAGGAGGAGGAGGAGGAGAGAGGAAAAGGAGGAGGAGGAGGTGGACAAGAAGGAGGAGGAGGAGGAGGAGGAGCTCCATCCAGGGCACTCCCACGACGCCCCCCACCCGCGCGGCCTGGGCCGCCCGAGGCCGACGATTGGCCACACAGCCCTCCCGTCGAGCTGAGCATCGCTTATGGCCGATCCTATGCGCACTGGCGTGGCCTTGGCCCCTCGGGCCGACGTGCCAGCCTGCCCCGAGAGCCTGGCGCTGCCAATCTTCTCCACGGCGGGCGTGCTGTTGGCCCCGCTGCGGGCCCTGGGACCCGCGCAGATCGATGCGGCTCGAACAACTGAGGCCGAGAGACGCGTCCGGGAGGAGGGGGGGAGGGGGGGGAGGAGGAGGAGGAGGAGGAGGAGGAGGAGGAGGAGGAGGAGGAGGAGGAGGAGGAGGAGGAGGAGGAGGCTCCAAGCGTGATTTGTCTTCGGACGTTGCCATTGTTTCGCCACGTCGGATGTCAGGGTACGTACCAACCCGGGTTGGGATGTATGCCTGGCTCCCTGCGGGCTTCGCGGGGCCTGCCCCCCACCTGGGAGGGCGGGCTGTCGAGGCTGCGGGGAGGGGGCGTGTTGAAGGAGCCCAGGAGCA